GGGCACTGATATCATTGTAAAAGACCACCATCATTTCACTGGCGCCTTCAGAGGGTGGGCGCATCAATCTTGTAATTTGGGGTACCGCAAGTCCTTCGTAATGCCCATAGTATTTCACAATTTTTCCGGATATGATTCTCATTTCCTTTTGCGAGAGATTGCCAAACGTGGACAGGTGAGCGTATTTCCGATAAATATGGGGAAATACATTTCTTTCACCCAACACAACTCTGAAACCGGTATCAAATTCAGATTCATCGACTCTTTGAGATTCCTGGGTGCCAGTTTAGACGAATTGACATCCAATTTGACGAAGGAAAGCTTCCAAAATTTGAGAAAAAAATTCAATCAATTAGACGCTTCTAAATTCGATCTACTCACAAAGAAAGCTGTTTTTCCATATGACCACATCAATAGTCCGAGCAAATTAGACGAAACTGGAATTCCACCCATTGAGAAATTCTACAATAAATTGAACGATGAACATATCGATGATGTGAAGTACGCTCATGCTCAAAACGTATGGCAACAATTTGGATGTCAAAATTTAGGTGAATACTCGGATTTATACATGAAAACAGATATCCTTCTTCTGGCAGATGTTCTCGAACAATTCAGAGAAGCTGCTTTGAGGACTTATACCTCAGATCCGGCTTGGTATTACACCCTTCCAGGTTATACGTGGGATTGCATGCTGAAGTACACAAAATGTTCCTTACAAATTTCAAAAGATGTTGACATGCTGATGTTTGTCCAAAAAGCGATAAGAGGCGGTATTTCGGTTTGTTGTAATCGCTATTCTGAAGCCAACCATAAGTACACTTCAACATATGATCCTACTAAACCACCAAAGCATCTTCTCTACTTGGACGTTAACAATCTATATGGATGGGCAATGTCAAAGCCCCTCCCTTATGGAGGGTTTGAATGGACCAATGCCAACATTGACGTCACATTGATTCCTGACGATGCGCCAGAAGGATATATCTTACAAGTAGATTTGGAATATCCGGAAACCTTGCACGATCTACATAAAGACTTTCCGTTCTGTGCCGAACACCGCAAGCCACCTGGTTCCAAGTTGGTAAAATTGATGACCACGTTACACCATAAAAAGGAATACATCATCCATTATGTTAATTTGTAACAAGCTCTGGCAAATGGCTTAAAGCTCATCAAAATTCACAGGGTAGCGAAATTCGAACAGTCTACGTGGTTGAAGCCCTACATTGATCTGAATACTGGATTGAGGGCTGCAGCCACCAACACATTCGAAAAAAACCTATATAAACTTATGAATAATGCCGTGTTTGGAAAGACGATGGGAAACATTCGTAAACATCGCGTCGTCAAATTATGTAGATCATGGAATGGACGCTATGGGGCTAAAAATATGATCGCCAGTTCAAAGTTTCGTGGCCGGACGATTTTGGGCGACGATCTGATTGCTATCGAATTGGCCAAATCTGAAATAGTCTTCAACAAACCCCTATACATAGGGATGGCTATTTTGGATTCATCCAAGACGTGCATGTATAATTTCCATTACGATTTCATGCTTCCAACAATGGGGGTGGAGAAATGTAAGTTAATGTATACAGACACCGACAGTTTTATTCACGAACTTGGCTGTGATGATGTATATGCGGAACTTATAAAAAATAACTTGTCCAAATTCGACACATCCGACTACCCTTGTGACAACCCGTATGGAATTCCGCAAGTAAATAAAAAGGTTTTGGGAATGATGAAAGATGAGGCAAATTCAAAAATAATAACACACTTTGTAGGCTTACGTTCAAAAATGTATGCCTACAAAGTGCAGGGGGGTAAAGTCACCAAAAAATCCAAAGGGGTTAAATTTAACGTGGTTAGGAATAAGATATCCTTCAATGATTATGTGGCTTGCTTGAAAGACTTCAAGGAGCAGACAGTCACACAGCGGACAATCCGTTCCTTCAACCATCAAGTATTCAGTATTGAACAGTCGAAAATTGCGCTAAGTCCTTATGACATCAAGAGACACCTACTTCCAAATTGTTATGACACCCTGCCTTTCGGACATTCCTCCATAGCTGACATATGATTCTTCTTCCACATACATTCCTCAACAATATCACCTTCATGTTCTGAGAAATCTCAACTGATAATATTTTACCCCCACCACTGATTTTTTCAATCTAGTTGTATATACGCTTACTATTTTTTATACACTTTATTTATTATATAATGTAGATTCTTTATTTTAGTTTTTGTATACACTATGTATTTTTCGCTATGTGTAATAAAAGTTTCTTGAAAATTTGGTTGTTTCATTACTGCAAACGAATGAACCTGCTACAAAACGTCGAAAAGCGTCAAAAAACGTCAAAAACGTCCAAAAACGTCAAAAACGCCCAAAAACATCGAAAACTTCAAAAAACGTCAAAAACGTCAAAAAACGTCAAAAACGTCAAAAAACGCCGAAAAACGTCAAAAAACGTCGAAAACGTCGTAAAAACGTCGAAAAACGTCAAAAGCGTCGAAAACGTCGAAAACGTCAAAAAAACGTCAAAAACGTCAAAAAACGTCGAAAAAACGTCAAAAACGTCGAAAACGTCAAAAACGTCAAAAAAACGTCGAAAAGCGTCAAAAAACGTCAAAAACGTCAAAAACGTCGAAAAACGTCAAAAAAGTCGACAAAACGTCAAAAAACGTCAAAAACGTCGAAAAACGTCGAAAAACGTCAAAAAACGTCAAAAACGTCACGTTTCTAACGAATCAACGTTCAGAATGAACCCGCTACAAAACGTCAAAAACGTCACGTTTTCCACGTTTCCAACGAAAGTCAACGATACCTGACTAGGAGTAAAGAAAAGCTGAGCTATTATAATATTTTATTGTTCCAAATCATTCAGTACATTGTTTTTAAAGTAATACAAATATTCTCTAAGTGCCATGCTCAACAAACTATTATCAGATATTTCACAAAATGCATGTAATGCATCAAAACAGCTTTTATTATTGAAATGAGTCCTTGTCAAATTCAGAATATTGTGATAATAAGCACAAAAGTTAATATCTTCCAACCAAGCCACTCGATGGGCCACTAGTCTTTGGTCGGCTTCGAGGATCTGGGTGACATCTCTTTCGTCCATGTGGAACTCAACCTCGTGTTTTCTGACCAGTAGGAATTTTGTATCATCATACACGAAATGTGTGATTTCACAAAAATCTCCGCATGGAAAGGTGATCGGATCATACTCTTCTGCATGGGTTGGTAACAGTTCGAGGAAGAAATCCATCAATTTCTGTCGCAGCAAGTCGATGAAGATGTTCCACTCCAACACACCAAAAGATATTTCGTTGTAAGGTAATATAACTATGGCTGGACTGAATATTCTAGCTGGACTCAAACCGACTTTCAATTCAAAGCCACTCACTGGGAACGATGTGCTGAGCAGATGGTGTTTTTCGGCTTTGGCTGCATTCTCGTACATTTCCAACATACTGTCTACGTCTCGATCATAATCACCACTGGATATAGGCGAGAATGGAATATTACTGCTAACTACCGACATACCACTATCTTGACTCGACATGTCGATTGAGACTGAGACTGAAACCGGCTCCGAGCAGCTATTTATATCTCTCCACCTCTCCATGATGATCACACGAAAGGCCCCTGACTTGTTGAAATCTGTCTGTATTTTCCATAAGAATCTACACTAAATCGACATTATCTATCCAACTGTTATGTTTCTTGTCGAGTCCCAACCACTTGACGTACATTCTCTTTCCTCTTCTCTTCAGCACTTTTTCAATGAGGTAAATGTCGGGATTCTTTGTCTTTTGTAATTCCTCCTCATAGAATGCGCCACTGATTGGCTGTCCATGCATGTCTTCGAGTAGGTAAGTAACAGGATTGGTTATCTTTACATTGACAATTTTGAATAACTCTGTCGTCCATCTAGGTGTATAGCCTTCTTCGAAAATATGTTTCGCCTTAGATATGCGTACAATGTTGCCAACTTTCAGTTTACGTGGACCTGCGATTTTCAAATGTCTAAAGCTTTGATGTAAAATATCTTTCTCGGTTTCCTTGTTCACCTCTGAGGGTTTGAATCGAGTCGTTGTGTGCTTGGTATTATTGTATTCATCAACGATCTGACGTAATATATCAATCCATTTGTAGGTGCCATTCAGACTGAAATATTTGTATAGTTTGTTTTTCAGCGTTCTTATTACTCGTTCAGCAATGGCAGCCTTTTTAATGCTGAATGTGTTGTAATGGTTGATGTCATATTTTTTCATCAATTTTTTAAACTTGCTGTTGAAGGATTCCGTTCCTTGATCAGACTGTAGATTTACTGGTATGCGCTCTGCATGTACCAATATATCGGCGAAAGATTTGGCAACCTCTTCTCCTGTCTTAGTTTTCAGTGGGCGTGTCCAGAGGTACTTGGAAAAGCAGTCAATCACTACCAGAATCATTTCATTTCCTTTATTCTGATGGGCATACGGTCTCATTTCAGCCAAATCCATTTGCCATAAATCGTCCAATCCTTTGATTATGGTTCGTCGTCTGGGGTAATTTTTGCGAGCTGGAGCATGCAGCTCATTAACAAGTTGAATCTTGTCTCTCGAAGCCATAACGGTATATCAACTATTTATATGTCAATTTTTCCATCTCATTAGTGGTCATTTGTGTCTGTTCCATCGATTCTTCATTCAATATCTCCTCTCTGTCAACAGCTCTCTCAGCCAGCTTGAAATCAGATCTCATTCGTGAGATAACACCATCTACATAATTTTTCGAAGCCATATGTTCCGTTGGAGGATGTTTCGAAATAAACTTTTCAATATCCATTATTTTGCTATCAATCATTCTCAATGTATCAGTCGACTGCCTGATGATGATATCCACGAGACGAGTTTATGTTTGAATTGGACTAATACGATGATGTTACCTCTGCTGCCAGCTGATCTGCGACCGAACTTGTCAAGACTCATCATTGATGTCAGTATAAAAGGTTAGCTTCACGAAGTTCATTAACGATTGCCACTATTTCATTATCGAGTGATGTGTTTCCAGCTTCCTTAGAAGCAATGAGTAGTTTCAAGCGGTCTACAAGTTCATTTGGATCGTCCCAATAGATATATTCCACGAGGTTTTCGTTGTACGTCAAACCACTACCAATCGTTGAACGCCTACCGCTGTTTTCTCGCATCTGTACAATAAGTGGCTTGATGATGTTCGTATACTTCCATCTTTTAGACCCTTTCAATTTCCCATCCTTGTTTATATAGCGATCACTCAGCTTCAAAATTTCCTTGTAAGCCTGCAGGTCTTCATCGTTATAATCTGAAGGATAATCATAGAAAATGAGCTGATACACCCCTGGAGTTCCTCGTACTTGTTTACCACCAATCTTAATGAATCCAGTTCTTTTATCAAAGTCAATTTCCTGCGTTCCCAGAAACCATTTCGACGTTTGAGGATCGGACCATACATCTGATCTATTTTGTCGCTGTAATCCCAATGTTCTCTGAGATATGGATGCACCATGACTGGGTATTGGTCTAGGTATTCATCGATTACATCATACGGAATACTTTGTTCTGGAGTGATATTTTCGTTGAACAGGATATCATCATCATATTCGTATTGATCATTATCATCCACAAAACTTCCGGTTCCACCCACCTCTTCCATTGGAATAAACTGCGTTTGCTGAGCCTGTTCTTCTTCTATTTTCAATTCGGGTGGCTCTTCTTTCTTCATACCGGTGCTAAACTGGGCTCTTGCCAGTAAATCACGATTGGCCTTTGACGTTTTCACAATTTCTTCCAATGGTTTGGATATGGGCTTGAACATTTTGTTCAGCGATTCGTCCTCCTCAGATTTACCCAGTTTCAAGGCCAAGTACTTTTTCCTGATTGTACGCGTGAGCTCTGCAATTTTCCGTTTACGTGCTGCAGTCTGATCGTCATTACGTTTGGATGGCATTCTTCTTCTGCGCATGACTTGACTTGACGACCTCATGATGTCGAATGACGTGTCTACACTTTTATATATTTGCAAATCAAAATCCTTGACAATCACTAGAGTACCATATGTGACACTCCAACATTCGGAGCACAATTTTTTAAAGACGTCAGATTCTCCAATTGATTCAATACTCTGGTTTTATCTTCGTACAATGTTATGTCCTTGTTCAGCTGTCGAACCCGCTCCCCGAATTCCTCCAACTTGCTTCTCTACTCGTCCAAGGACATTGTAACACTGATTCAAAGGTCAAGTCTGAATAGTGGTAGTGGTAGCTTCGCATGCGCACAGCTGATATAAGCTATTGGGCAGATTCGGCAAACACATCCAGTATCCATGATTGAATGGCTCGTGACAAGTTTGAACATGTCTGTTGGATGACTCATCGGCCACCTGCGTCAGAAAAATGGACCCATTGTTCTCACACAGATAAGGATGATGCAATCGGATGAGGTTGTTACGTAATCGGACACCTGCAAACAAAGGCGGCATTGTTCTCGTATATTTCGTCGCGAATTATCCAATAGCCGGAATTCCAAGAAACGCTGACAGAGGCATAGAGAGAACAAAGGTGGCATTGTTCTAGAGGAAGGCTAGATAACATATGGCAAACAAAGGCGGCATTGTTCTATGAAGTCGAGATAAGGATGACTCATCGGTCACCTCTCCAACATGCATATCGGGTGACCTTGGAACAAAGTGCTACCAATTGTAGTAATACCAACCTAAATCTGGTGGGCAAAGTCACTAGATTGTGACGACATCAACTACCTTTCAAAGAGAAGAAGAAGAATGTCCTAGGACACGCTTATAAGCACTAGAGTCTAGAGTCCAGAGTCTAGGGGGCTAAGTTCAGAGTACTCACACGTGTCATCTGTCATTGCTTGTGTTCCATGTCATCTGTCACTTGTCATCTTTCACCTATCGCTTGTCATATGTCACTCGTCATCTGTCACCTGTCACTCTCTGTGTTCCATGCCATCTGTCACCCCTTGGGATTCATGTCACATGCCATCTGTCACTTGCCATCTGTCACCTGTCATCTGTCACTTGTCACATGTCACTTATCATCTGTCACTTGTCATCTGTCACTTGTCATCTGTAACTTGTCATCTGTCGTCACTTGTCATCTGTCACTTGTCATCTGTAACTTGTCATCTGTCACTTGTCCTGTGTCATCTGTCACTTGTCATCTGTCACTTCCGGCGGCCATCTTGTGACGTCACTTCCGTGCATCCAACACCTTCTATCACAGGAACGGTTGTGACGTCACTTCCGGCGGCGGCCATCTTGGCCTGGTACCGGCCTACGTACACCACTGTCATTTGTGCTTGAAATTTCTCTCGTCGAAGAGTGGAAACTTCGTATTATAATATGGATAGAAAAAGCATCAAACAAATGGGGCACGCATTATTGGCTTACTCGAGATAACGATCTTTGCTGAAGATGAGTGAGAAACAGCTCGCTGATATGCCGAAAGTGGTTTTAATCGGATGCGCTTCACATGAGATAGCTTTAGTGTGGGATAATTTACCTGAACAATTACGCAACGATCAAGATGTATCAAAATATCGATTTTGTGAGGAGCACCACGAACACCGCCGCCAAGAGGATAGTGACCGTTCCAGTGCAGATGTCGATGATGGGCCGATACCAAGAAGAATATAATGCTGCTTTTGTCAAATAAAAGATGTAAATGTGGCAACTAACAATAAATTCGATATTAATGCTTCGCCGAACGAAAACAAGAACATTCTTCATTGTTGCAGGCAGCAATAAGATTGATACTTCTTACTATTGCTGCTGTATACACTGAAGCTTGTTGTTTGGTTTTTGCTGTGTTTGCTTTTCCAATTGTAAAAAGTTATGTCGCCAACATTCACCATTTCTGGAGATCGCAGTATCTTGAGTGCAGATTTTTTTCTACCAATCGAACTCGATGTAAGGAATACTTACGGCTTGGGGTTACATGGTTTCTATTCATACTCAATATAGATGAGACGAATAACAAATTAGGTATTTGGTTCGAAGAGGGATGCGTTGTTCTTCAGATACCACCAGGCGCCTATGAGATAGATGAAATCAATAGAGCAATACAAAAGGCTATAGAGAGTTGGACTCCGCTGAATGGGCGAAATATTGATGATGTATTCTCCCTTCGAGCTAACAATAATACGCTCAAATGTGAACTAAAGTCCGAAATTATGTTAATTTTGAGTATTAACGATTCTATAGCCAAAGTCTTGGGCTTTGAACCGAAATATTACAAGCCCAATGTTTTGCATAAATCCACTTTACATGTGAACATCATAAAGGTACGATTGATACGGGTTGATTGTAATGTCACTACTGGAGCGTACCTTAATGGTGAGGAGGTTCACACGCTTTACGAGTTCGATGTCGATGTGGAGCCTGGATACAAACTTTCAAAGGAGCCGAAAAATATTATATATCTACCAATCAGTTCGACAGGGCGTCAGTCTATCGACAACATCACACTGAGAATTTTGGATGATAATGACCGATTAGTTGACTTTCGCGGAGAGAAGATTATAGTCAAATTGAAACAGCTCGATTAATTATCACAACGGTTTGGAAAAAATGGGTTTCTGCTTCGGAAACCAATCAAAACGTGCATCTCTCGCTGCAAACCCCACTATTCTACACACTACCGTTGAGAAGAAGTGTGAACGGGGTAGAGGATTCATTCAAAGACAGCTCACTGGTCAGGTAAGACGTCATAGATTATCTGCGAGCGATATAAATTTTTCGGAATCTATTGGTCTGACAGTACGACAAAGACGAACGAGTAGAAATTAGTGAACAATGGTTGTCACAAGTTCTACTAGCCCTCAATTGGAGGTGTTTGATGAACCAATTTTCGATCATTCACTAATTAGCCTACATGAGCATACATACAAACCATATGGTTCACCATCATTCAAGAATTCTGATGAAATCAGGATAGCTGTCAACTTCCAAGATTTGATACTCAATATTTCTGATAGCTACATATATATTGAGGGGAAATTCACACCAGATGATGCAACGAAATCCTGCTATCTATCTAACAATACCTTAGCCTTCCTCATTGATGAAATTCGTTATGAAATGGGTGGCGAACAAGTATGTATGATTCGAAAACCAGGCATTACAACCACAATGAAGAGCATGATCTGTTATGGCGATTCTAACGCTAAATTTCTTGAAACAGTCGGATGGGGAATTGACAGCGAGAATCAGCAGATTCTAAACAAATCTAGCCACATATTCAGTGGAAAACTACCACTGAAATATCTAATGGGGTTCGCTGAGGATTATAATGAAGGTAAATTGAATGTGAAACAGGAGCTGATACTCATCATAGCTCGATCATTCAAAAACTGCTATATAGGAGAAGTTGATGCCAGTGTGGAGATTAACAAAATCGAATGGAAGATAGGACATATTATGCCATCGGATAAGCAGAGGTTGAAATTACTGAACCGTCTCAATAAGAGTTCTACAGCAAAAGTAAAAATTGCATACAGGATGTGGGATCTATATGAATTACCGTCAAGTCGTGAAACATCTTCAGACATTTGGGCTGTTAAAACCACCAATAGTCTCGAGCGACCAAGGTACATTATCATAGGCTTCCAAAATTCTGGTAACACAGATAATAAATCCAAGGATACCACCCAATTCATTCATGCGGGAGTCAACAATATTCGACTGTATTTGAATTCGGAAGTTTACCCTTATAAACGAAGGAATTTGGATTTTGGAGAGAAGTTAGATGCTGTAGCCTATTATGCATACGATAATTTCCAACGAAGCTATTATGGTTAAGACATGAGCGAACCAATGATGAGTATTGAGGAGTTTAGAAAAAATTCGTTATTCATCATAGACTGCAGCCATCAACCGGACACATTGAAATCTTCAACTGTCGATATCAAGTTGGAGTTTGAGACACGCCAATCGAAATTTCCATCTAATACCAAGGTATATGCGCTCATTCTTCACGATGCATTTTTGACATATAGCGCACTAGATGGTTCCATACAGTTAGGTGCTCCTTGAATACACTCTACAGATCTGGAGCAAATTCTAGCCTCCGTCCACCTCCACCACCACCGTCACTGCCGACCATCAGCATTCGGAGCCTATAATTGTATTAGATCAGTTTTTTCATTATTATTATTATTTTCATTATTATTTATTATCATCATGATTATTATTATTATTATTATTATCGACACATGTATCTGCATCAAATTGAAAAAAAGTAAACAAATGATTTACATATCATCGTTTTCTATTTCTTGATTGATAGACAATGAAAAAATGCGAGCTCATCATCATTCCATAATTTATATATATATATATGCAAATGATAATAGTATGATTGAAGCATCTCTTAGCAATATCATCATCTCGATTCTTCTACTTCTTCCTCCTCGTTGTCGGATGATTCTGGAATTACCTCCAAGTTGTACTTCCGTATCAGGCTGTTTGGTAGGAAATCGAAAATTTCATACAGAAATTGTTCCAAGTCCTCTCCCACCATTGCTTCAAGAAATTCCTCCAAAGTGAAGCTACCATATTCGAACCGAGCGCATAACATATAACCCTTTCTATATTGTTCGGCTTGTTTACAGAATCGTTCAACTTGTTCTCGATCGAAGCATATGCTCAAATCATAATGTGTCGCATGCATTGCATCACGTGACAAATCAGAGAACTGACATTTCAACCTGCTCACTGCTGATTTGATGTCTTTCGCTGCCGGCCAGAATCGACTAGAATAATGCATCCACATGTTGGGGAACAGGAGTCTGTAAATGTTAAAAAAAGTTTGGTAATTATGAGATTAATTTGGAGATTTGTCTTTCATTGAATTCTTTTTGGAACCTAATTTATTACTTACCGCAAACGGTACGATCTGCGTCAGTGGCTTGTATTAATGTAATAATAATTATCATATAATTTTTAAACCCTTTTCACTGAACTAT